TCTGAAGAGAGAGAAGGTCTTCAGAGAGTGGCCTCTGAAGAGAGAGAAGGTCTTCAGAGAGCGGCTTCTGAAGAGAGAGAAGATCTTCAGAGAGGCCCCTGAAGAGAGAGAAGGTCTTCAGAGTGAGGCCTTTGAAGACAGAGAAGGTCTTCAGAGAGACCTCTGAAGAGAGAAAGTCTTCAGAGAAGAAAGTAGAGAGCCTAAAAAAGGTTGTTTCTCTCTCTTCAAAGAGCGGCCTCTGAAGAGACAGTAAGTCTTCAAAGAGCAACCTTTGAAGAGAGAGAAGGTCGAGAGAAGGTCTTCAAAGAGCAGCCTCTGAAGAGAGAGAAGGTCTTCAAAGAGCAACCTCTGAAGAGAGAGAAGGTCTTCAGAGCAGCCTCTGAAGTCTCTTTAGAGAAGAAAGTAGAGAGCCCAAGAAAGGTTGTTTCTTGGAAGAATATGGTATCTTGAGTTTTAGGGGAGGGGAGCGTTGGGATATGGATATATCTCTTGATAAGGTTAGGTATTTAAAAGATAGAGATAAGTTACTTGGTTATCAAGTTATCATACCATAATTATCTCTTCTCTTCTAGTTGTATGATTGTCCTCTATATATAGAGGTGATAGAGGCCAAGTTACTTGATCATCAAGTTATCATGCCATAATTATCTCTTCTAATTGTGTGATTGTCCTATATATATAGAGGTACTTTTTTATTAAAGATTAATCCAATATAATGAAGATGTAGCAGGGCTTTGGATCCATGGACGTAAGACTTCGGCCTGAACCACATAAATGTTGTGTTCTCTCTTCTCTCTCCATTCTATCTCCATTCTATACTCTCACAAATTACAGTTTGTATAGAGCGGATGTTCTAAACAATCAAAGTAATTTGCATCTGCAAATAGTGCCGAGAAATGTAGTTTTAATACTTGAAATCTATATAAAATATTTTCATTTTTAATTACAAAATTTAATAAAGCTTTGAAAATACTGTAGATCAAACAGATCTATGAAAACTTGAAAATCTTGAAAACTGGGTGTTTTGACAATACGTTATAAAATGCAGTATTTTCAAACATTGAACTCCATTTTTTTTTTCTTACGTCAATACATCTTAAGGTCAAGATGATTAGTTTGAAAAAAATTTGGTATCAAAACAACATCTTCCCATTTTTGAGGTGCGCGTTGATTTGATTGTGTAAAGCTTCGCACTTATATAAACTTTTTCCATGATATATACCACGGTCGACAAAAGTTCATAAAATAGAGATAAACCTTTACTAATGTGAGTTTAAACATGTGTGTGGGCGACTGTTGAAAGTGAGGCCGCGGTGCTAAAATAATTGGAAAATCCGCACCTCGAAAACCCGATATCGTGCGCGGCTAACTCAGTTTTTGCATGGTGAGGTATTTTCGCAAAGAGAGGAAAACACAGTTGTGGCAGAGAGAGGAAAACAATGAAAGTTTGTGGGATGCAATTCCTTAACCCTTCTCCCATCATCACTTCTCCTAGAATTTGCAGAGGAAGAACGCCATTTTCAACTATTTTAAGCTCTGATTTTCGAGGCTTAAAACTCCATGGCTTCTCTGCAACTCCACGGATTCCCTTCTTCCTTCCCAAACTCTATTGCTCAAATGGCGAACTGGTTTCATCTGAGAATCAGTCTTTCGAGGTGGGAATTTTTTTTTCTTTCATTTATAATAGATGGAAAACAAGGGGAAAAAACAGGAGATTACGGTGAAGAATTTGAACTGGATTATCCATTTGTACCTTTGTTTATTTTCCCTAAGAAATTTAGGTTAGTGTACTTCAATTGGTCTAAATATGTTGACTTTAGGAAACTGATTGGGTATTTATATTTTTTGGATATTTTTAATATCGAAAACTCATCTGTTTCTTCTGAACCATGTATTACCGTGTTTTCTTCTGGAAAATGTGTTTACAGATGTGTTTAAACTAGGACAGCTTAGGAAATTAAAGGGGGAAATCTGTATCGGTTCGTTTTCGTAGTTTTTGTTGAATTTCCTAATTACTAAGATTATTCGGCTCTATCTTAAATAATGAAGAAAAAAATAAGAAAGATAAAAAGGAACTCTCTTATTCATATGATACATAACACTGCAATGTACTGTTTATCAAGAAATGTACTGTTTATCAAGATATATTTCTGTTTCTTTCCTAATTTTTGTTCTTTTTTTTTAAACACTCCATGTGCGTTTGGTTAAAAGACTTCTTCAAGTAGGAGCCCTTTTTCAATAATTGGGGAGATGCTGGATTTTCTAAATGAATCTTGGACTCAGTTTCATGCTACTGGTAAGAAGTTTGAAATTCCTTTTTATTGATAATTAATTTCAAGTTTCCATAGTATGGATGTATAAAAGAATTCGAATGTGCGTAACTCATTTAACAACTATGTCCTTCTCCTGACAACTTCATGGTTTAAATGCATTGTATTAAAATACATCATTTGGCCACTGTCATGTCTTGAATGCTGGAACAAAATATCTGGGTTTCTCAGTGTTTTGTGTCATAAGTTAACCAAGAATTTATGCTACAAGACTTTCGTAAATATTGTTATTTTTTATGATGCAAAGTTTCAATGGTACATCGCAGTTTGAAATGCATCATAGTTTGTAATTTTAGGTTAGCTGTGCAACTTGATATATAATCATCTTTTTAAGACCACATGTATTCTGAAAGTGAGAAAAAGACATTATATTTTCTAATATATACATCTATTGGGCACATTCTGATGATATTTATTGTTTAATAAACATTGGACTTAGATATTCTAGTACTAATTTTGATGCGTTTATACACATACAGAAATTCCTATGCATACATATATAAGCACATGAACAAAGAGAAGTATCTAGGTTGAGCCAGTAGGTAGGGGTCTAATATTAATTTTAATGTGCTTATACACATACAGACATTTCTATGCATACATATATATGCACATGAAAAAAGAGAAGTATCTAGGCTGAGCCAGTAGGTAGGGGTCTAAGCTTGATTCCCTTGTAGTATGAGTATTTAAGCTGGGTTCATGTGGTATCTGTTACAGACCCGAGCCTCAACCTGGGTGATTCCACTTTTGTTCAGGAATAGGTAACATACACCTACAGGTTTAGCCTTAACTGCATTTAAAGGGCTGTCAACTAACTCCCTTGAAGTGAGCTCTCTCTCTCTCTCTCTGCTGACTCACTGACCACAGTCTCTCTCTCTATTTAGACTACTCTCATAACATTGTAGTATTGTACCGTCACTGGCCCTCTGTTGATTCACTAACCGCGTAGTCTCTATCTCAATTTAGGTTACTCTCGTAGCATTGTACGTAATCTGTGGCCCCAAGGCTTCAAGCAAGATGTATTTTCTCAGAGAGTATTAAGGAAGGCCTTATAAGACAGTTTAGAGTTTGATCTTTCCCTTCTTTCACTTGACATCTCATTCAAGTTAGTATGCCTGGTGAGGGATTATTTAAACTTCCACCTTGGTTGCATGAGGATCTTTACCTCATCCCTGTCAAATGGGGCACAAAGAGACACGTGCATTTTTTTGTGGTTAGCACACGCATTTGTTGAATGTGCTGGAACAGAATCTATAATGTGTTGTAACTGCTCTTTTGGAATATCTTTAGAAGTAAATTGGTGGTTATAAAAGCATAACTACAAATGCTTAAATGATTTTTTAAGTAAAAAAGTATGTGTGTTGGAGGTGAATAGGTGATGACGGCACATCTCACGGGTTTATATTTCAACCTAGTTGTGTCTCAGCCTGCCTATGCGTGCTAATAAATTATGAGAACAGACTTTGAAAGTTAACTTACCAATGCTGCTTATGCCCTTGTTATTTTTTCAGCTGAAGCAAAACGGCAATTACTTGCAGCAGGATTTCATATGCTAAATGAGAATGATGAATGGGATATAAAGCCTGGGGGACGCTACTTCTTTACAAGGAACATGTCTTGCTTGATTGCTTTTTCTGTTGGAGAAAAGTAGGTCTAAACATGATCTTTTATGAACTTTTATTCACATAAAGAAGAAAAGCTACTTTTGATGAGTTATTCTCTATATATTTCTATACATACTATTGAAGATCAAGCGACTAAAGTTGTGACAAATTCCCTGCGTTGTTGAAACGAAATGGCTCCCCTTTTGGATGTCTTAATGGATGTCCTATCTATATTCATGTTGGAAACTACAGCGGAAATTAATGATAGTTTGAAGCATTTTACCTTTTCAAGATTTGAATGCAGATAGTGCTTAGTAATTTCTTGAAGTTCTTGATTGACTACACCACTGTAATGTACTTTTACCACTGATCTGGTTGCTCACTGTGTCTGTATTGATGTTTATTCTTGGAAAATAGCCGATATTGTGTCTATCAATTTATGGCACTAATCAATCCTTGTACTAGACATGTTGCCCTCGTTAGCTGATCTTGCTGTGTAATTTACTTCTCAGTCATTCAGCTACATGCTTCTTGTTCTATTAGGGTTGTATCCATGATGATAGCTATTTGGAGATAATGCCACCTTATATGGAATTACGGATCAGACACTTGTTCCATACTCTTAGATTAAATGATGATTTTGTTGGTTTAAGTACTGTTAAGCCATATTTTGTAGTTGAAATGTAAATTATCCTACTAGCATGGTTTTTCTGTTAGGAATTGCTTATTCCTATCATCATGAGCATAACTAGGACATGCTTCTCAATGTTGCATGTGCTACTTGAAAATTTAGCGTATGGATTCTTGTTCTGAACCTGGAATACCTGGGATATACTTCTCAAGTTCATAATGTAGAAAAAACTTCACTCATCCCGTAAATCTCCTTCAGAACTCACATGAGGACATCCATTAGGAACCTCTTAGACTCAAAAATTAGTTTCCATTATCCAGTAAGTGATGGCATGAACAGCATAGCCAGCAAATTCTATACCTTAATGATTTTCTAATTTTGTCTAACTGGTGGCTTAAACATTATGTTGCATGGAGAGGTTCTCCATGATGCCAGCTAAAAAAAAAAATTCTGTGATACTTTTGGGATTTGTTTTAATATCTTTTTAGCATCTCCTTTCTCCTGATTATGTAGTATGATTTAGAAACAATTATCCTGACATATTTCCTTTGCATCACAGATACAATGCAGGAAGTGGTTTTCATGTTGTTGCTGCACACACAGATAGCCCTTGTCCAAAACTCAAACCAATAACTGCATCATCGAAGTCTGGATTTCTTATGGTGAATATACAGACATATGGAGCTGGGCTGTGGCATACATGGTTTGATAGGGATCTCAGTGTTGCCGGAAGAGTAATATTAAAATCTGGTGATGGGTCTTATAAGCAGAGGCTTGTCAAAGTGAAGAGGCCTATTTTACGAATACCAACACTGGCCATTCATCTTGACCGGTAGCTGCTGATAATAGACAATACATTTATGGCATTTTCTCTGTGTTTCATATGTAGACTGGATTTTTATTTTCATTGATGATCATGTTAGTTACTATTGATTCATCTCTAGCTTTTCATTTTTTATTCCTCATTTGGAGTTACCATGCTATTTTGTCCTGACATAGTTTCCGGCCCTTTAGCTGTTATTTATTATATTTGCGTCTTTTTAAATTCCTCATGCTCTTGTCTGGGATATAGTGATGAGTTGGGAGGATAATTTAAATGCATCGACTTTCCTTGGTACAGCTCAGTAACCAATGATGGATTTAAACCAAATCTTGAGACTCACCTTGTTCCACTTCTTGCTACAAAACCAGAAGATAAGACATCTCCAAAGTTTGAAGAGGCAATATCTTTGTCGTCCTTAAAAAATGCTCATCACCCGCTTCTGTTGCAGGTATTTTCTCAGATTTCTTAAAAAAAATATTCTGATTGTCTAACTCAAGATAGGAAGGGGCCTTGGCCTGGGTGGTTAGGGTGATAGAGCCAGAACATGATGTCAAGGGTTCCATTCCTAATCAGCATTTATTTTCAGGTTTCCAGGATACTTTTGATCTTGGATATCTCTTCGCTGCAGGTTTTGTCAGATGAGCTTGGTTGTCCTGTTGAAGAAGTCTTAGGTGTTGAGTTGAATGTTTGTGACACCCAGCCTAGCTGCCTCGGAGGTGCAAACAATGAATTTATCTTTTCTGGAAGACTAGACAATCTTGCTTCGAGTTATTGTGCTTTGAGAGCTCTTGTGGATTCGTGTAAGTTTCCAGGCGATTTATCGCATGAATCTGCTATACGAATGGTTGCTTTATTTGATACTGAAGAGGTAATGATCTCCTTTAACTTGTGCCTGTTTAGAAGAATATGCATGCTCTGTAAAAATCTCAATGCTTAATTGTGTCGACATTGACTTGTAGAATCCAAAAGAATTCTGTCTGTTTGGCTTCATTTGTTTAAATATCGCATTGTACGGATTTAAAGGTTGATATTCCTTAAATTGGGATTTTGATGGAAGACTTTATGTCGATAGTTCCATATTGCTTTTGTTGTCTGGACTCTGGAGACTCTGGAGTGTTCCATCGCAAACCTAGGTTGCAAGCTCATATTCCAGAGTTAACCATTGAAAGAGTTGCCATCGATGAGGGAGGGTGAGAGCAGGGGCCTTATGTTGTGCTGTGCTTGAAATTACACATTTAGTTTCATTACTTCCTTTGTTTACTGGGATTACCAAGAAGACTATAACAAATATAGTAACATATTAAAGATACCTTATCTCTGCTTGGGGCAACCCTCTATGTAATGTTCTCTTCTAAAGGTACCTTATCCAACAATCATCATAATTCGCAAATTTGACTTTAGTTGGTTTGATGATTGAAATAGTGAAAGAGTTGTTACTGTGGGGGTGGTGGGAGGACAGTCTATGTCTATTGGGAGAATCAATGTGCATGTGAAGTGTTGGGGTTTTGGATCCTGGAAATTCTAAATATTGGGCACCCATGGCTGTTCTCAACAGTCGTGAGCACCTGATGAGATAATTCATTTGGTCGTAGACACGTAAATTCTATTATTTCGGCTGGGATCGGACCTGTAAATTTAAGAGGGTTGGCGGGCTATGGATTCATAATCTCAAAGACTGTAATACTGCCCAGTAGTGGTGATGCTTTACGAGCCAAAATGGGCACTTGTGGCAAAGAGTTATCCAGGGGAAATATGGCCTTGATGACTTGGGCTGGTTTTCCTAAGATTAATAACTGTCCGCATTTCTGGTACTTGAAAGGCCATTGCTTCCATTCATGGGGACTATCTCAATAGAACTAGATTTGCTGCGAAGGAAGGGGAGAGGGTCTGGCTTTGGAAGGATATTTGGCTCAGGGACTGCACGTTGGAGAGATGATTCCCAAGCCTCTTCTCATTAGCCACAAACCAGGATGTGCTGATTGTTCACTGTTTTGAAGTTCTTGGGGGACAACTTATGTGGTAACCTGGTTTTCGAAGAAATCTTTGCGACTCAGAGATTATATTCCCATGTGAAATTCTTTCAGCTCCTCAAAACCAGTTTATCCTGGGGTGGGACAAAATGATGTGGACTCCCACCTCTACAGGTCAGTTCTCAGCTCTTCCATGTACAGCAGTTTGAACCCTGTAAAACAGTGTGCCAACTATTACTTCCAAGGTCTGGCATATTCCCGTCCTACTAAAAATCCATGCCTTCCACTGGTTGGTCTTCTCTAAGAAGTCGAATCCAAAGAAGAGGAATCCTGATACAAAACCGTTGTATTATGTTCCAAGTGTTGTAAGATGAGTAAACAGTCGACATTTATCCATTGTCTGGTAGCAGTCCAGATGTTTTACGTTGGATTCGGAAGTTGGAACTGTTTGAGTCAGTTTGTGTGTGGCCTGAGACTATCCAACAGCTGCTCTCAGGCCACTTGTCCCCCCTTCCCCCCTCCTGGGTGCTGGGCTATTTCTTTGCATGCCCATATGGAGGGCTCTATGTGGATACTACGGTTCGAGCAAAACTCTAGCATCTTTCATAGTAAGGAAAGACTTACGAGGACTCTGAAGGATAAGATGAGGACCAAGATCAATTTTGGGCCAAACATCATAAGCTTTTCTTTGGCTGGCCCTTGGTAGACTTTGCACAGAATTGGGGCCATCATTAGAGATGCAAGAGAGACAAATATCCTAGGTCCAACCTGTGGTTGCCTCTGTCTCCTGGTGTAGTCAAATTATACATCGATAGTGCTTTGTTGGCAATCCTGGCTTGGCTGGGTTGGGTGGCATATTTAGAACCAACTTGCGTGATTCCTTTCTTTCATATTCCGGTCCTGTTGGTACTGCAAACTCCATCAAAGGGGAGACTTTGGTACTGTTGGAGGGTCAGAAAATATTTGTCCATAGCAGGGATGATACTTTGGAGGTTGAAGGGGATTTCCCAGAACATCAATTGATGGACAGGAAAGGAGGCTCTGTCCTTGGGCAGTTGGGAAAATTCTTCAATCAAATCATTGATTTCAGGTCTTTTTCAGGCACATGTAGTGAGAAGTGAACATGGTGGTAGATAGCCTTGCAAAGGGCAGTTCTGTGAGGAATGTTTAATTATTTCCAGGCACCTTACATGAACTGACTGCTCGTGCAAATTAATCTATAAACATACCGTTGATATGCTTTCTTATAGTTTCGAGTTCAGGGCGGATTTTACTTATATATGTCTTCATGCAGTTCCAAGTTTGGAATGGATTTTGACGTACACAGGAATGTAAATCCTTTTACCATTAATACAAAATCAGTCTTTCCAAAAAGGGAAACTAAATGTTCATTAAAGTCCAGAATTTGGAATGGTATTGGAAAATCACAATGAAACCAGGTTTCAATGATGGATGTTTTTTCTTTTATTTGTTGGGTTAGACGGTGGATGTTGTCTCTATTTTGTGGTTGACATGCATAACGAGCCAGGTCGGATGAGATGTTATAGGGGATAATATATCTTGGTTGGATTAGCATCTTGGATTATGAAATATGTCTTGTATTCATACTAAAAACAAAGTAAACATCATCTAAATTTTCGAACACTCCCATACTTCAATGTAAATAAACTTCTGGCTTCTCATACCTCTTGGATATCCACTTTGCCCAGTACAATTTGATAATCACTTATGTGATCCTGGAATGGAAGCTCCAACCTCATGCCTTTGGAAGCCTTATGATAGGCTCGTCTGGATTGTTTATTATTGTTATTTTGATAATTCTCTTGACATCAATATCCAGCATCAGGTGAGCAGCACGATAGTTGTGGACCTGTAATCTGCCAAATTTTAAATGGCTGCACCTAGCGAGATTGGCCTCCTTATTACTTGGCTTGCCTTTTTTTCTTCTTGAAATGCTATTTATTTTACTCTGTCAGATGAACATGTTAACTTGCTTAAGGGATTTAAGAAAGCCTCAAGTTGCATCTGGGTTCACAACTTCTAACTTCTAGGAGAGTCCTCCCTCCTTGATTGAGGCTAATACTTCCGACACTTTTGCATTGACTAATGCTATTAACCATATCGTTGCAATTTCATGGGCACAATTATCATACACTCGTGGGGAACAAAATGGGAATTACAACTAATTCTCTAGTATAAATATAATAGGGTTGCCAAAAAGCCTTTGTCCTCTCCTTCCTTGAGCTCCTCTTGACTTATAGAGTTCCTCGGTACCAATAAATGGGCTATCATACATGTCAATATCTTTGTCCTATCTCTCCAAGCATGTAGTTTGTGTTGTCATAGTGTTTCTCTTGTATTTGTTGGGGCATTTTTTCTCTTTTCCTTTTGATTTTTCAAATGGTACTCTTCTTTTGGGGCATTTTCATCCTGAAGTTACATCACAGGAATGTGCACATTTCTGTCCTGTTTTATAGATGTTGCTTGTTTTTCTATGCTAGTCAACTGATAAAAGCATTTGAATGGATGAAAATCAAAGAAACTGGCTGCTTCAGTAGTCAACTTGGACTTGGTTGGGCATTTATCTATGTACTCCATGATTTTTTATGTTGCTAAACAATATGCAATCTAGATTTCTTGTTTTTATGCTATGCTTGCACTCATCTGTCCTTTTTTCTAAATTTTGTTTCATATTGCATGCTTATAAAAATGACTCCTAATATCATATCGAAAACTATCATATCTGTTTCTGTTCCCCACTAGTGTAAAATCAGTTATCTGTCCAATGGGCTATGTGTTGAATGTGTAAAAAAACACATGCACACTGCTTCACTCTGTGTTCCTTATAGGCAGTTCATTGTAATTAAATATCTGTTTCTAACATGACATCACTCGGTCAGGTTGGATCAAATTCAGTACAAGGAGCTGGTGCACCTACTATGTTTCAGGCCATGAGACGCATAGTTGGTTGCTTAAGTCATGGTCATGTTGGTGAGAGCACTTATGAGCGAGCAATACGAAGATCATTTCTGGGTAATGTTTTAATGATTACTTTTCTATTATCGTTATAATCCTTGAATGTTTTATTGAAAGTGCATGGGTTTTTTTTTGTGTTTATATATATATATATATATATATATATATATATATAGTAAGTAAGTAGTAGTAGTAGACTAACTAA